TGAACTGCTGACCTTTAGATTAGCAGTCAAGTGCTTAATTACTGTCCCACTAGGGCTTCTCTAGACAAGGTAGATACTCAAAAAAAAATTTACTGTGTAAGAGAATTACATTGCTATTCTGTCCATTCTGACTCATGGGCACCCCATGTGTTACAGATTAGAACCGTTCCACAGGATTGTCTTGGCTGTAATCTTTACAGAAGTGAATCTCCAGGCCTCTCTTCTGTAGCACCACTAGCAGGGTTGAACTGCCATCCTTTCTGTCGAATAAACCCAAACCAAACCCACTGCCACTGCCATCAAGTCCATTCCAACTCATAGTGACCCCCACTGGATTTCAAAGGCTGTAAATCTTAATGAAGTAGATTGCCACATCTTCCTCCCATGGAGCAGCTGGTAGGTTTGAACCTCTGACCTTCTGGTTAGCAGCCTAAGCCTAATGCCTTCCCTACTAGGCCATCAGTGCTCCTTTTCTGTCAAGTAGTTCAGTGCAAACAATTTACACCACCCAGGGACCTGCATGGGAGAATGTTGCTGTTGTTGTTATGTGCCTTTGAGTCGGACCCAACTCATAGTGACCCCTCCTTGGGTTTCCAAGGCAGTATCACTACGGAAGTAGATTGCCCCATCTTCCTTCTGAGGAGTGGCCGGTGGGTTTGAACTGCCAGCCTTCTGGTTAGCAGTCAAATGCCTTAGGCACTATGCTTCCAGAGCGCCTATATATATACATATATATATATATATACACATACATACATATATATACATACATACGTATGTATGTGTGTGTGTGTGTGTGTGTGTGTGTGTATATATATATATATATATACATACATACTTGTGTGTGTAACATCAGAGTAGACTAAAGAAACATGATGACTAAACACAATGTAGGAGCTCTGGTAACTCAACAACTCAATCTACTTCTGTAAAGATTTATAGACTTGGAAATCCAATGGGGGTCTAGAGGAGCCCTAGTGGGACAGTAATTGACCACCTGACTGCTAATCTAAAGGTCAGCAGTTCAAACCCACCAGCTGCTTCAAGGGAAAAAGATGTAACAGTCTGCTTCCATAAAGAGTACAGTCTTGGAAACCCTATGGGGCAGTTCTACTCTGTCCTATAGAGTCCCTCAGTGCAGATCAGTGAGTAAGCACAAGCCCGCCCGTGCTTACCTCGCTCCTGGGGACTAAGCACAAGCCTGCCCGTGCTACCTCGCTCCCGGGGACTAAGCACAAGCCCGCCCGTGCTCACCTAGCTCCTGGAGACCCGGTCCCTCTTGGGAGGGTAACAAGGGAAAGTGTTCAGTGCAGATCAGTGAGTAAGCACAAGCCCGCCTTGTTTCAGTACCT